ACGCCGGGGAGGGCCAGCATGCTCCCACTGCTGCACCCCGCCCTGCTGCTGCTCCTGGGCGCCACGCTGACCTTCCGGGCGCTCCGGCGCGCGCTCTGTCGTCTGCCTCTGCCCGCGCACGTGCGCGCCGACCCCCTGCGCACCTGGCGCTGGCACAACCTGCTGGTCTCCTTCGCCCATTCCATTGTGTCAGGGATCTGGGCTCTGCTGTGGTGAGTGAAGGACCGGGAGGGGGGAGTGAAGGTGACTAGGGGACCCCGCGTTACTCTCCCCATCACTCACGGGCGGGCTGAGGCCACGCAGTCTCACATGATTCCCTGTCTGGAAAGCTATCCAATCCGGAGCCGCAGCGGCCCCAGGGGAAGGGGGTGTCGCCTGGGAAAGGGGAGACACCTGGGTTTCAGCCAAGCCCCTCCTTGCTCCCCAGCTAATAGCGCGGGCCCGGACTCCCCCGGGACTGTCAAAGGTCCTTGGGAGTGGGGAGATGAGCGCCTGCCTTCTTCCCCCCTTCAGTGTATGGCAAACCCCCGAGATGCTGGTAGAGATTGAGACGGCTTGGTCGCTTTCTGGCTATCTGCTCGTTTGCTTCTCCGCAGGTAAGCCTTATCCAGTAAACATTGAAGTAGGTGGGGGAACAGGGAGGAGCTTCGTATAATCCCCTTCATGACCTTTCCCCCCTCTCTCTGCTAGGTTATTTCATCCACGACACGGTGGACATCGTGGTTAGTGGTCAGGCTCGAGCTTCTTGGGAATACCTGGTCCATCATGTCATGGTGAGAAACAAGGGGTGTGGTATAGCCCTGGCGCTAGCAACTCCGTCCCTACCGTGTCCTGCACCTTCCCGTGTCAGGATGCTAATCTGTGCCCTTGGTTCACTATTTGAGGCCAGCAATCTAACTTCATCTAGTACCTCAAACACTCTAAACTCTACACAGGGATCAGAATTTAATCATGTTGAATTCACTGTAACCTATGTCAGAAGAAAGCAAACAGGAAGACTTTCCAGTCTGATAGCTGACACTCCCATCAACTTCGTCAAGTCTTGGCATCTCTTTCCTAACTTGTTCTCATCTTTGCCTTCTAGGCCATGGGTGCCTTCATATCTGGCATCTTTTGGAGCCGTTTTGTCGGCGGGGGTGTCCTGACACTGCTGGTCGAGGTCAGCAACATCTTCCTCACCATTCGCATGATGATGAAGATCAACAATGCCCAGGACCTCCTCCTCTACAAGATCAATAAGTATGTCAACTTGGTCATGTACTTCCTCTTCCGCCTGGCCCCTCAGGCCTACCTCACCTACTTCTTCATGCAGTATGTGGGTCAGAGGAGCCTGGGTTCCTTTCTGCTGGGCATCCTGCTCATGCTGGACATCATGATCCTCATCTACTTTTCCCGCCTCCTCCGCTCGGACTTCTGCCCTGAACGTATGACCAGCCCACAGCACAAAGACAAGTTCTTGACAGAGTGAGAGTGAGGGGCAGAGCCTGGGACTTGAGGCAAGGACAGCAAAGAACCAAGGAGAACAGCCTCATGAATAAACTGATGAGCCCCAAACCTGGGGCATCCAGCTTCTCCACCTTTCAAGCTTGCACCCACGATTGAAAACACTAATGAAAGCTCTCCTCTGAAGTCCTTGTCCTTTCTTGGGCAAGGGGTGAGGGAAGCAGACAGACCGGTTGGACACGGTAGATGGGTGTGGGGACAGTGCTACCCGAAAGCCAGCCAACCCATATTGCCCTGAAATGGATGCTGATGAAAACTCTGGGTACTGGTTTCATACAGACTTCTTCCAGGGATAAAGGAAGGGGTTCTTATAAAACGTCTTGCTTGTTTGCTTACTCCTGTGACAGAGGCAAGCTCTGGTTGTCCTAGGACAGCTAACCCTAGAGTCTGGGTCACAAGTATCTGCTAGCTGAGCTCCCACCGCCAAGATTACAACAAGTATGGGAAGTGCTAAGTGTACCAACAGGGTAAATAGGCCAAGAGTCTTGCCCAAACTCTATTCAGCGTTCCCCCAGCCCAAACAGAAATCAACATAAAGAAACAATACAGTGTAAAATTTTTATATTTAGAATTAGGCAGCTGGACTCAGTTTAGATGATTCCAATCTGAAAAACAAAAGGGGGTTTTGTTACTGGAGGTTGAAATGTGAAGATTAAGCTAGAATGTCATGATTAAAAAGCAAAATGTGGGCATAGGGTAGGGCTTATTAAGGAGAGAGAAGAGTGCAGTCAGTCAGTTAAGACTAATCAGCAAAAGTCAGGCTTTGGTCGCTAATAAGACACATCATTTGCACCCAGGGGGTGGGATGTTGAGAGGAATTTTGTGGCAAAGAAAGCTTACTTTGTTGGCAACATCCAAAGCATCATAGTCAGGAGCCAGTCGAACATATGCCTTCTTCTCGCCATCAGGCCTAGGGCAGAAAGGGCAGCCTCAGTCCCTGCTGTCCTCACTGGCCCCATACCCTCCACCCAGTCTTTGGGGCACCAGGAGTTCCTTTGTTCATGTTTTTCTTTTGCCAACAGTGGTTTGTCATCTGCACAGAGGAAGCGAGGGAAGCCACTAGGCTACAAACAAAGCCAATTCCCTTTTATGGGAAACACCACTGGACATTCAAATCCAGATAATCTGACATAAATTTTCTTACGCTAGGGCCTTCCTAGAGGCAGGAATCAAGAACATGAGTGTCAACCCCATAAATCAAGTTCTAAAGGCAGGACAAGCTGTTGATTCCTCAAAAGTCCATACAAAGGACCATAATTACAGCAGGGGCTGCTCATTTCTGACCCAAAAGCAGCACCAAGGAACTTGCTGCTGTTCAGATTTCCCTGGCTTCTGACTGAAGCCCCAGCCGTCCCCCAGCCCATGGAGCCCCTCACCTGATCAGGGTGTTGACCTTGGCCACATCGATGTCGTAGAGCTTCTTCACAGCCTGTTTGATCTGGTGCTTGTTGGCCTTGACATCCACAATGAACACCAGTGTATTATTGTCTTCTATTCTTCTATCTTCTTCATGGCTGACTCGGTCGTCAGGGGGAATTTGATGATGGCATAGTGGTCAAGCCTGGGGAAGGTAAAATGGGGTCACCTAGCCTGAGCCCAGTTTAACAGAACGAGCCGTCTTTTGGAGCCCAGGTGCATCAGATGATGAGTAGCAATCATTTTTGTCAGACTTTGGTCGCTGAACAGTATCATCACCTGCACCCTGAAATCTAGACCTAGAGCCTCAGCCTGAGAGCAAAACCATGAGCACTTCCTTTCACTTGAAGGGCTTTCATCCTTTAAGTGATTAAATCATCTTCAGTTCCAAATCATCTTGAGCTTCATTCTTTATTTGACCTCATCATTTCTGAAGGGCATATTTCTGAATAAAATTTAAGACCTGAGACATTAAAACCAAAAAGCACACAGCTAGAATACAGCATCTTGAAACTCGGGTTAGAATTCCAAAGAATATTGGTGCTTCACTATGAGGCTGGGGAGGCCAGGCCATTTCTACCCATTTTGGTTGCTGAAAACTGGCTTGAGGGCCATCCATTCTTGAAAGCAACTTTAAAAACAAAATTTACAGCTCAGGTTAAACTTAGTGGCTTAAACACCCCTACAGCAGTTTCCCCCACCCTGAAATTCAGAGAAGCAAGGCTCTGTTCACATGGACACTACCATCCCATTTTGAAGCTAGAAGTCAGGTCTCAGCCTTTCATTACCCTAAATTCTAGGTCCAAATGGGGGTACAAAGCCTGTCAAGTGTTTTCCTCCACAGCTGGACACAAACCACTCCCCTGCCTTTTTCTTAGGAAGCAGTGGGAGGAGCAGAAACCCATCAGCTTCTACCACCTTGGTTCTACTGTAATCGTGGTTCCTGAGGTCAGTTATTAACAGCAGCACTACTCAACCATTATCTGAGTGTAAACATTTGAGAGTGAATGAAAAGATGTTTCCATACACTGCTGCAGGCCCTCACCCTCCAATACAAATGAATGAATCTTGTTATCAACCTAGAATCATCACACATCCTCACCCTCAAGGACTATTCCCTATATAGCAATAGGTGCTAGGAGGGATGAACTAAATCTGGAGCTCCAAAACAAGAACCCAAGTCCTATTTTATACTTCCAAGAAAGTGGACTTTAAAACCCTAACATATAAAGTAATAATGAACCTAAGAACGAATTCCTGCCAACAGTGTAAACAATGTCTCTTCTTGTTCTTTAAGGCATTAATCTCCCCACACCCCCATCAAGAAGTACCTCAACATGTTTTTAAGAAGCCAGGTTCTAAGTTTGGTAAATTTCATAATTACCAATGGAGGATATCCAAACATCTTTTCAAGAGGATGGTCGGTGCTCTTCTGGGGAGCATGCCTGTGCCCTTCCCTTCCTCCCTCCCCCCTCTCCCCTCCCCCAGGTGCATTACCTTTGCCTTTCTCGCTCCTAAGCTCCAAAGGCCCTTCTGTCTCTGCCTCTAAGTTGTTTCCTGAGCCTACACAGCCCAGGTAGTTCATTTCTACTACCTATGCAACTTCCTAAATAAACTTCCTCTTATACTGGGGGTGGGGGAGGAG